TTAACACATTGTTGACCGGTCACGAGTTAACTCGTGTTTTTATGGCCGAACGTTGCTGACCGGCCACGAGTAAACTCGTGATGCGTTTTTTTTTCGCATCGCTGTTGTTCTCTCTGTTGGCGACCATACAGTGCAATTGTTGGTCAGTATAACACAAGCTGTTTCTCTCGATTATAAGACCCGCCAAATCTTTTGTTGTAAAAAATATTTAATAATTAAAAAATTTTTAAAAAACGATGATGGAACGTAATGAAGAATCCTTCAATGAATTATACGCGGATGCTTTTTCTGATTGTCCGAGTGATTGTGAATCAAATTGTGGTAACTGTGAAAATGATACTGTATCAGAAGATAGCGACTGTAATATCAGGCCACCAAAATATCAAAAAAGAAATATAATAGCATCAGATAGTGACGACGATTTGGAAGAAGAGTGGAACGAACATGATATTACACCAAACTTACAGAATTATTTAAATATTCCTGGTGCAACTATTGAATTTGGTGACGCGCCGACTATCAGTGAAGTAACGGCTTTATTTTTTGATAGTGGTTTTTTTGATTTAGTCGTTACGCAGACCAATTTGTACCATTCTCAAATGAAAGAGGTACATAAAATTTCTGCAAAAACGGTATCATGGACGGAAGTTACCACTAATGAAATAAAAAAATTTCTTGGATTACTAATATTGATGGGCCAAACCAGAAAATCTCATTGGAGAAATTATTGGTTAACGGATCCTTTAGTTGAAACACCAATATTTCGAGCAACTATGTCCAAAATGCGATTTGAACAAATTCTTACATTTTTTCATTTAAATGATAATACGCAACATACATCTCCCAAAGACAGACTTTGCAAAATTAGACCACTTTTGAATTATATTATTCCAAAATTTCAGTCCCTATATACACCCAAGCAGGAGTTAGCTCTAGACGAAGCAATGGTACCATACAGAGGACGCATCAGCTTTAGGACATACAACCCAGCGAAGATAACAAAATATGGAATTTTGATCAGAATGCTTTGTGAAAGTGAGAGTGGGTATATATGCAACTTCGAGATCTATTCGGGGCAAGGCAAAAAGCTGCAAGAAACAATATTGTCTGTGTTGGAGCCGTATCTTGGTCAGTGGCATCATATATATCAAGACAATTATTATAACAGTGTATCTACAGCCGAAATATTACTCAGAAAAAAAACACTAGT